AGTAGAAGGTAAGTTTGTAAAGACTACGTTTGTACAATACAGTAACTAGTTAATTGATGCATATTATAAAAATTATAAAAAATGTATGACATATTTATTAAAACGCGACAAATTTAAATGGCCGATAAAATTTTTCTAAAACATTCATCCAATAATTAAAGAAATAAATTTAATAATTTTTGGAGTAATCTACATTTATTTAACAGCTACACCCACTTTTAAAATACTATGGCGTTAATAGGTTAAGTGTAGAAAGGAGGTTGATTTCGTTGACCAATACTTGTCTATAAATCTTCCCGTTCGTTGCTATAGCTGTTATCGGTATAACTGGATACTGTGATTCAGCAAAACCAACATTAATCGTTATGAGTCATTTGGTGGATGGGTTGGGTCCGGTACCAGTTTTTCAGAAATAAAAGCAGATTTTTTTGTGTTTTTATAAGAATATATAAATAAAACTAAAATAAATACACTGCGTGTCATTAAAGAGAGGCCACGTAGAATTTTATAAACATTTTTTAATAATTTTAAGTTTATGCATTTAACAATAAAACACTGAAAACTTTTGTTTTTAAACCAAATTTTATTTTAAATTATTGTCACTACAGTTGTTCTGACGAGAGTACCTTTCTCAAGTGATCTATTTTTAGTACGTACTTACACTTTACTTTATACTTTATATTCGGAGTCTATATTCAGACAAGCATTAGATCAGGTCCAAGGCGGAGTTAAGATTAACGGAATCAGCATAAACAACATCAGATATGCTAATAATACTTCTTAATAGCAAGCAACGCACAAGAACTATAAAATATAATAAATGCGGTAGTTCACCACAGCGAAATATTCGGTTTACATATAACGTTTCCAAAACGAAATCTTTAGTACTTTCAAAGACACCAATAAACGTACATGTGTATGTCAAGGGTCAAATGATAGTAACAGGTAAATTCCATAAAATATTTGGCAGCAAATAATATCAACAGTCAGTGTAATCCAAAAAAAGAAATACTATCAAGAATCAAACAAGCAAGAAAAACATTATTGAGCATGAAAACATTTTTTTTTAAATCAGACCTTATTCTGCAGATTAGAATCCGAATGATTAGATTTTCCGTTTTTTTGTCTTACTGTATGACTGTGAAAGTTGGACAATGGACTCTGAAATAGAAAAAAGAATAGATGCCTTTAAGATGTATATATACAGATGAATATTAAGAATTCCATGGGTGCAAAGAGTTAGTAATGTTGAGGTACTTCGTCGAATATGTAGAGAAAAAGAATTACTAAGAATAATCAAAGAAAGGAAAATGCAATACTTGGGTCATGTATTGAGAGGCGAAAAATATGAATTACTTCAAGTTATACTGGAAGGAAAAGTGCAGGGCAAAAGATCAGTAGAAAGACGCGAGAACTCTTGGCTGAAAGACCTAAGGAGATGGTTCGACCGCTCATCCGCAGAAATCTTTGGCGCAGCAGTTTCCAAAACAACAATTGTCATTTGGATTGCCAATCTTCGAAAGGAGACGGCGCCATGAGAAGAAGAACTGTTTATCTCAAGGTGGGCATTCCAAATTATGTCTGTATTTTTTAATTCGTTGATTTCCATAAATTCGAATAATGATAGCTTATTTTGCTTATTTAGCCTTTATTTTGAATGTGAAGAATTTAACATTAGTCAAATAAAAGAATGACTATGGTCTAGAAGGTAAAGTGCGTACGTAGAAACTGTTTTTTTATTAATAAAAACCCTTTAATGTTCTGCTGTACGTTTGATAAAAGTTCTACGAGTTTGACCGATGTAAGTTTTTGGACAGTCACATTTAAATTTGCATACACCACTGTGTAATTGCTTTACCTTTTGGTTCTTGTTGTTCTTAATGTATTTTCCCAATTTGTTGTTTGTTGTAAAAGCTGTTGTTATTTCTTTTTTTTATGTGTTTGGCTATTTTTGTTAATAGCTTGCCTGTATATATAATCGAGCAGAAGGGCTTTCTTATTTAGTTTTTAATTTGAAATTTTATTTATTGTGTGTTCGTTGTACCCATTGTTTACTGCAATTTGCTTAATGACCAACTAAAGAAACACAGTTTTTTCGTACTCAATTTATTCAGTTAAATACTATAAAGTGTAAATATATACCAAAAATAGATCACTTGAGAAAGGCACTCTGGCAAAAAGTGGCAGAAAATATGTGCAATTTTTAAATTTAAAACTATAGCTTAGAGATTTAGTAGATCTGTTAAAATTTTTACACTTTAATTGATAATAGAATGAGTCAAAGAGAAGTGGCCTAACAGCTTGAAGTCAGTCGGTGTATGGTCCAAAAAGCATAGCAACAATTCGTAGAGACTGGATCTTACGAACGACGACTAGGATCAGGCGCGAGAAGATACACCCAGAGAAGACCGTTCTTAACAACGCTCATTTGAAAAATTGGTTCTTTATGCTAGAGCAATCCAAAACAGTTGAACACGGTTGAACACAACGTACTTTTACAGTGAGAAAAAGTTGAGGGAATCTGGTGTAAGGTGTCGCTATCTAGCAAACAGCATCTTTGTTAATAACAGCACATCGACAACGTCGATTTGAGTTTGCTAGAGACAACGAGAATTACACGATGGAAGATTAGAAAAATATTTTGTTTAGTGATGACTGTGATGAGTTTAAGATAGTTCTTTATGGCTCAGACGATCGCATTAAAACGTACAAAAGAAGTGGGGCTGTTTGTGCTCTACGAACACATGCTGTTTTTGAAAGAGGCTTTTTTCATAGAGAAACGGTAAATCCTCACCGATACAACAACGAAATTCTAGAATATCGTGTAATAAATTTTACAGTGTTTGTAGGCGAAAACCTAATTTTTATTCAAGAAAACGTGCGACCACACGTAGCGAAGATGGTAGCGGCATACCTGGAAACCGCAAGTGTAATAAAAATGAATAAGCCAGCTCAAAACTTAGATTTAAACATGATTAAACATATTTAAGATCAATTCAAACGAAGAGTAAGAAACAGAATACCTGCTCGAATAAATCGTAAGCAGCTTTGGTTGGCGCTCATGAAAGAATGGGAATCTTATCTTCAAGACAACATCTAGAATTTAACCAATTCAATCCAAAGTCGAATAAGTAGTGTAATTCGAAATAGCGGTGGTAATTAAGAATATTAAAAACATAACTTTGAGGTAAGAGTTGACAGCCAGTACACCGAAAATATCAAAATACAGAGAGGAGTCCGCCAGGGTTGCGTGCTGTCCCCACTACTTTTCAATGTCTACAGTGAAGCAGTATTTCAAGAAGCGCTCTCAGACTCAATAGAAGGCATATCTATCAATGGAGAAGTTTTGAGTTACTTACGTTTTGCAGACGATACAGTAATAATTACGGATAACAACAATGATTTACAGAACCTAATGCAACGCCTTAATGAACGCTGTCATGAGTACGGACTGAAGATAAATTTAAAGAAAACTAAATGCATGATCATGACTAAATCTGCACATGCAAATATCCAATTGACCATTGAAGATACTGCAATTGAGAATGTTAATAACTATAAATATTTAGGAACATGGATAACATCAGATGTAGACCAAACCAAAGAAATTAATACACGTATTGAAATAGCACGTACATCATTTATTAAACTTAAAAAGTTTCTTTGTTGTCGGGATATAAGGTTAGAACTACGCCTGAGAATGCTTCGATGTTACGTGTTCTCTACTCTTCTTTATGGTCTGGAAGCTTGGATACTAAAACAAGTTCATCTGAATAAGCTGGCCGCCTTTGAATTTTGGTGTTACAGAAGAATCCTACGAATATCATGGATTCAAAGAATGTCAAACATGGAAGTAACTAAAAAAATAGGAAATGAGGCGGAAATAATATTAACTAATAAAAGACGAAAACTTGAGTACTTGGGACATGTGATGAGAGGGCAAAAATACGCATTATTACAACTTATTATGCAGGGCAAAATCCGAGGAAAGCGAAATGTGGGAAGACGAAGAATATCCTGGCTTAAGAACTTAAGGGAATGGTTTGAATGCAGTAGTGCAGAACTTTTTAGAGCGGCAGTCAACAGAGTCCGCATAGCCATGATGATTTCCAACCTTCGATAGAAGATGGAACTTAAAGAAGAAGAAAAACATAACTTTATTATATTGTTTATAAAGAAAACAGAAAAAAATTAACATGTTAATTTTTAAAAATTTTGCATTAAAATCATCATTTTGACAGAAGCATTTTTTTAAAATTTTAGAATGATATTTAAGAAATAGTTGCATACTACTTTAGAATATATTATTAAGCATTACACAAACATCTTATGACAACCAATGTCTTGTAGAGTCTGTAAAAACTCAAAAATGCCAAAAACAGCAAATTTTCTAGAAGGTCTCCTCTTTCATTTCTGACTCCAAGGCCATGTGCTCCAATGTACAGTGTCTTGTATTCGGCTGAAAGGTTGGCATTAAAATCTTCAATAATAACAAGAACTGAGATTGGTGGACAAGCAGTAGAACTCGTGGATAAATATAAATACTTAGGACATGAAATGATTGGCAGGGATAATCAGACCCATGAATAATGACACACATGCCTGAAGAGAAAAGTATTAGATCAATGCGTTCTTCCAATTTTGACATACGGAGCAGAAACACTAACTTTAACAAAAGCGTTGTCTACCAACCAAAAGAGAGAAAAATTGAGCGATCCATGTTAGGAATAACAACTTTGGTTACTAAGGTGACTGAAGTCATTAAATATGTATCTGGAAGTATTTGGATTCTATATGCAATATACAGAATCCAAATGGTTTGTGGTTTTTAATTAAAGACCGCAATTAAAACCGAGTCGACGATGAAAAGTTGAAGTAGGATGATGAGAAATTTAGTATCATGGATGATTCTTTGATCTCTACTTGAAGATGTAGGAGTTACGAAACCAGTTTATTCCACAGTCGTACGTTTAGTAGAATGGCATTTAATGTTAGTTAAATCATCTGTAAAAATAAGTTAATTTAAAATAAGTATACAATAAATACATTGAATAAACTTGACGTCACTCATAAATTTAATAATTAATAACTTAAGAAACTAGTCATATCAGAAGTAGCAGAAGACAACAGATTAGGTAAGGCTTATCTTCCTCTATCTGCTAACTCTTCAAAGAGTATGGTGATATCACATCATAATCGCTTGGATCATGGTTCTTCATCGTTGTAACTCTTAGGCTGTTATGCAAGCTTCGTACAGACAATGGCTAGTGATGAGGTTAGGTTAGGTTAAAGTGCTGTCAAAAACCTTTTAAAATCTAAGGTACTTAAAGAACTTACCCATATTTTATAAAATTAGTCCACCACTTAAATAGAGGTTTTCGGAGAGTATCGTTGTGTGAAGCTTCTTGTGGAGTAAAATCCCAGAAGTAATGCAAATCTGCTGTATGTTCAACACCTGAAATATTAAGATAAATAATGTTTATATCTTTTTGTGTTGTGAGTAGATAATAAAGTTCAGTAAATGACATAAAATAATTTTTAATATAAGGCTTTTTTGGACACATATAAATGTTTGTTTGACAAAATTTGGAAATCAGAACGTTTGTAAGATAAAACTTTATTAAAACTTAAATTCTATAAAAATGATAATCAATGCTAAATTATGTTAGACAAAAATAACCTACTACAAATTTTAGATCGAGTCCTTTATGGCAATCATTTAGTCTGGAATATTTTCGTACTTGCCTTATTAAAGAACATTACTCCAAAAAATAAATCAAGGAACAAAATCATAATTTTTGCTGTTTCGTGGGATCCAGCTCAAAGTGTTGCCTAGTTATTTTAAGAATTTATTACAATTCGTTTTATTAAATTTCAGCTAGTTCAAAAAGAGAAATCATACGATTTCTACCTGGCGAAATCGAGTAAATCGAGTAAATGGAGTAGTAACTATACCGTACTGATCTGAGGAGATCTAAAGAGATCGAAATACGTATATGCGGCTTGTTGCTGCTCTGTATCAAATCAAAATCTAATACCGTCATTTTGTTCAGCTAGTTCGTTGATGTGATATTATTTGGATTGATATGTTATTGGTACTGAGCATATGACGATGTTGTGTATATGGTAATTGTGCAAGGACAATTCTCGGCAGTCGTTAGTGATCTATCATTGGTATGTTTTGAAAATAAAATATTAGAATAAAACAAAAAAGTCGGTATTGTCCCATACAGAGAAGAGATCGTATTCCTCAACAGATACTAGATTGGAATATATTATGGGATTAATAATCCACAAAATTTGTACTCTACCAGACCCACGAAGGAGATAACGAACTTTGTTTTGCAATTCATCTTAATCAACCTTGTTTGTTGTTTTATTTTACAATGTAGACTCTTATTGTATGAGATGCACAAGTATGTGGGGGCAAATTTGCTTAATTTCGACTTTATTCATCTTTTTGAATGCGTAAGGTATATCTATGTTTGAATAAATAAAAAATATACTGATTTAATGTTACGCCTGGTAATGACTATTAATATAATTTGTGAATAGAAAATTTGGCAAAAATATGTTTTTATTAGGTTTTTTTTCTTCTTTTTATGTAGACATGACTTTGTCTGTTTTTCAAGTTGCCTCCAGTAATTTGTCCTTCCATCGTTTTCGTAACTGATCGTCTTCCTATTAGAGAACCGTCTCTTGCCATCTTTACTACTCAATTTGTTATCATTCGGTTTATATGATCGTATTATTTTATTTAATTCTATTCTATCCCTTTTTTTATTGGGTACCTATTCAAAATATCAAATTTTATACCTATCATAGTCCTTTTTGGAACTGGACAGTATTTTAGAGTGCTATACTTTTTGTTTTTTTTATTATAATTTTATTAAAGACAACTTTATAAAGTTTTTTTAAAACCAATAAATTTGAAAGAAATAAAAAATAGCAGAGTGTTATTTAAAAAATTGCAATCATTTCTACTTTATTGTCTTTACTCTATCTATAAATGTTTCCCCATTATCATAAAAAAACTTGAATAATTGATGGTTTCGACCGTTACTCGATGGAAATTCATTTTGTGTAACAATAAAACACTGAAAACTTTGTTTTCAAACTTCCACAAAATTTATTTTAGCTATTATCACTACAGCTGTTTCGGCTGATTTCCTTTTTCAAGTGATCTATTTTTGGCATGCGTTTACAATTTATAGTCTCTAATGAAATAGTCTGAGGAGAGGAGAACTGTTTGTCTCAAGTTGGTCATTCAGAATTATATCTCTGTTTTTTAATTTGTTGATTTCCATAGATTCTAACAAAGATAGCTTAAGGCCTTTATTTTGAATGTGAAGAATTTTAAATTTGTCATTAAAAGAATGATTATATGATCTAGAAGTTGAAGTGCGTATGTCGAATCTGTTTTTCTATTATTGAAAGCCCTTTTATGTACTGTTATTCGTTTATTAAAGTTTCTACCAGTTTGACCGATGTGACTTTTTAGGCAGTCACCACAGTGAAGTTTGTACACACCACTATTTAAGTGTTTTTTATTTTGGCTTTTGATATTTTTAATAAATTTGCCTAGGTTGTTATTTGTTCGGAAAGCTGGTGTTGTTAGTACCAAACCGGACCTGTTCCGAATTCCAGACGATGGTACGAGGGGTGCGTGTTGCTTCCCCACTCACCGAGAAAATACACAGTCCACTACAAGTTTTTGAAGAGCAAAGACAATTTAAAAATATATTTGTGTATCGCTATTGTTTTAAACTTTATAATAAAAACGTGAAATTCTCAAAACTTAGACTATTTATTAACAGTTGTTATTCCGTTCTTTTTTATGTGTTTGGCTATTTTTGTTGTTATTTTGCTGTATATGTAATCGAGCAGAAGGTACTGGGTTTTTTCTGCTCGATTAGGTACATATACAGGCAAAATAACAACAAAAATAGCCAAACACATAAAAAAGAAAGGAATAACACCAGCTTTCCTTACAAATAATAACCTAGGCAAATATATTAAAAATAACAAGAGCCAAAATAAAAAACACTTAAATGGTGGTGTGTACAAACTCCAATGTGGCGACTGCCCAAAAACTTACATCGGTCAAACTGGTAGAAACTTTAATAAACGAATAGCAGAACATAAAAGGGCTTTCAATAATAGACAAAACAGATTTGACATACGCACTTCACCTTCTAGATCGTAATCATTCTTTTAATGACAAATTTAAAATTCTTCACATTCAAACTAAAGGCCTTAAGCTATCTTTGTTAGAATCTATGGAAATCAACGAATTAAAAAACACAGATATAATTCTGAATGACCAATTTGAGACAAACAGTTCTCTTCTCCTCAACCTATTTCATTAGAGACTATAAATTGTAAACGCATAGAAAAAATAGATCACTTGAGAAAGGCCATTAACCAAAACAGCTGTAGTGATAATAGTTAAAATAAATTTTGTGGAAGTTTGAAAACGAAGTTTTCAGTGTTTTATTGTTTCATAAAAAAAACAGTTATTAACTGAATATAAACTGATCCAGAAATCGACAATTTAAATCAAAATTTATTTTGAACTTTTTATTTAAAAACAAAAATAGAAATATGAATTACTATACCTGGAAATTGGTTGCTTTTGTTGTACCAAGATAATTGATACATATATACAGGAACATATCGAGATGCAGCATCAGCTTGACGTCCTACCGACCGTCCAAAAACTTCATCACTAGTATACTAGAATTAGAGATATTTATATTTATAGAGTTTTTATGTAGGAAATATAAAATTACCTATTTATTATTTTATAAGCGTAAAAAATAAAATGTATATTGTAGTGCATATTAGAACAATCAATAATATTATCACGACTCAACACAATTATCAGCACAAATAATTGATTTAAATACCCAGTTATCCTTTATTATTGTAATTATAGTTGCAAGAAATATCAGAATTCGTGTGTTACCAAAGAAATCTGTTTTGTTGTACAGTAATAAATAATTTATGTTTCGCATGGGGTGTAGGGTTGTGTTATAGAGGTAGCACCTTTTATCGGAACGACCACATCGAGCATCATAGACGGGAGATGGTTCTTGATAACTGGTCCTAATAACACACCTAACTCTCACTTATGGCTCCACGTGCCACACCCCGGGCAACTGCATTGGTCTGCAGGCTAAACTAAGTGAGGGTAGCCAGATATGGCGAAAATTTTACCGAGCGATTGCCGGTATAAGCAATCCCACACTTACTGACCAACGGCTTCGGGCGGATGAGTTGGTAAGTGTTAGGGCACTTTTTTGTCCTGAGACCGAGAAATCGATCTCGAAGGCGGATGAACCCTACAGAATGGTCAACGGCATAAGGATGCAGAAGGCAACGGGGAACCACTGCATTAAAGACTCATAGAGTACCCCTAGTAGTAATCATCATGGTAGACATGCAAAGGAAAAGTACTGATCATGGACATCGGATACCAAGATCCGGCAGAGAAAGAGAAATAGATAAGTACAAGGCTTTCTCGGTCGTAAACCAGCGAAACCCTTGTAAAAAGAAAAAGACAACCATAAAAATTGCTACATGGAATGTAAGGAGCTTATTCTCTTCGGGAAAATTAGATAACGTCGTGTTGGAAATGGATCGTTTGGGTATAGACATATTAGGCATGAGCGATACACAATGGCCAGAAAACGGCAAATGTCCCAAAAATATTCATGGTATGTTTTATTATGCCGGAAGTGACACCAAAACCCATCGATACGGAGTAGGAGTCATCATCTCAAAAAAATGGAAAGATGCTGTAATAAACTTTACTCCATTCTCAGAGCGCGTGATGTTAATACAATTAAAAGATAATAAGAACATGATAAACATCATACAAGTGTACGCTCCTACAGCAGACAAAGACGAAGAGGAAATAGAACAATTCTATAATATCTTAGAAGAGGTGATGAGAACAACAAAGAGACAACACATTAACATAGTAATGGGCGATCTGAACGCCAAGGTAGGTCAGGGTAAAGTTGGAGAAAATGTCGGTGAATATGGCTTAGGTAATAGAAATGAAAGGGGTGATCGTTTAGTTCAGTTTTGTCAAAGCGAAGATTTAATAATAACTAATTCATTCTTTAAACTACCCCCAAGGCGACTATATACGTGGACGTCACCTCAACATACACAAGAAAAAGTGGTCAGAAACCAAATAGATTACATATTGGTGACAAAAAGATACCGTAATGCCGTAAAATCTACTAAAACTTTCCCTGGAGCTGATATCGGTTCGGATCATAATCCAGTAGTATCTGTGATAGAAGCTAGACCAAAGAAAATAAGAAAAGCCATCATTCCAGTATTAGACTTAAGCCAGCTTAAAAATGAACATCTACGACAAACAGTGCGAGAAGAAATAAACACCAGCCTCAGTGTAGCAGAAAGCCAAATCCGCAGAACAGACAACATAGATGAAAAACTTAAGTATATAAATACGATAATAAGAACTACGGGAAAGAAACACCTAACCAAATCTGCAAAGAAACATAAGGTGTGGATGACACCAGACATTCTAGAACTAATGGATGAAAGACGTAAAATGAAGAATAATGCAGAAAAATACAAAGAGATTGATAAGAACATAAAGCAAAGAATAAGAAATGCCAAAGAATCATGGATTACAGAACAATGTGTAGAAATGGAAAACTATGAAAGAAAGTATGACACGTTCAGTATACACAAAAAAGTAGAGAGAAATTACAGGAACCCAAAGAAGACGTCAAATAAGTTTGCTTAAGAACAAAGATGGAAAGATTATTATAGATTTAACAGAGAAAATTAATAGATGGAGTGAATACATAAGAGAATTATTTGAGGATAACAGAAATAACATTGTTCTGATATATGGCGAAACGGGACCTGAAATTCTAAAATGTGAAGTAGAAATGGCACTTAAAAATTCCAAAACCGGGAAGGCAAATGGACCGGATGAGGTTCCTACCGAATTGCTAAAGCTCTTGAATGATGAATCAATAGGTATAATATTGCACTTACTTAATACAATATACAATACTGGCATTATACCTCAAGAGTGGCTGTTGTCTACATTCGTTACACTGCCAAAGAAATAGCGTTCGTTACACTGCCAAAGAAATAGACTTGAGAAAGCATTCGATACTATTAAATATGACAAACTCATAGAACTATTACGTCTTTCAGGACTTGACACTAAGGACATCCAGATTATAAAAAATCTATATTGGAATCAAACAGTTCACATGAAGAATGGACATATGGTGAGTGAAAACATAACCATTTCTAGAGGGGTAAGACAGGGCTGTATTCTTTTGCCACTGCTTTTCAACCTGTACACGGAACAAGTATTTCTAGAGGCATTAGAAGAGTACAATGAGGGCATCAAAATTAATGGCGTATCAATAAGTAATTTTCGATATGCAGATGATACTATTATACTGGCCGATAACATCGAAGATTTACAGATGATGCTACATAGAGTTAATACAACTGGCAGCCGATTTGGACTGAAGATCAATAGAAAGAAAACTAAATTTATGGTGATCAGTAAAAAAAAATTCAACATATCGACCTGCATATTGAAGACGAACGTATTGAAAGAGTACACCGATTTAAATATCTGGGATATACAGTAAATGACAAGTGGGACCCAGAAGTAGAGATTAAGATCCGAATTGAAATAGCAAGATCCAAATTCATCAAAATGAGAAAGCTTTTAAGCAACCGCAACCTAAGCATTAACCTCCGATGGCGCGCCACGAAATGCTACGTACTCTCTACGCTACTTTACGGCGTAGAAGGGTGGACGTTAACAGCAGCAACTATAAAGAAGTTAGCGGCTCTAGAAATGTAACTGTATCGACGCATACTGAGAATACTTTGGACAGACAGAGTGACCAACACAGAGGTATTAAGACGAATGGGTAAAGAGGTGGAATTGTTAACAACTGTTAAAAGGAGGAAAGCGTCATACCTGGGCCATGTGTTCCGTAATGATAAGTACAGTCTGCTACAGCTTATCGTGGAAGGCAAGATTGAAGGTAGAAGAGGTTTGGGCAGAAAGAAGAAATCCTGGCTGAGAAACTTGAGAGAATGGTTTCAAATACCAGAAGCTGCGAACATAATTCATGCGGCACAAAACAGAGAAACCTATCGTATGATGGTCGCCAACCTTTGGTAGAAGATGGCACATAAAGAAGCCAAAGAAATCTAATGCTGAAGAATGTTCAGAACATTGAACAATATCTTTAATGAGCCACCTACTAAAGATATTTCTAAAAATCATCCACAACCGAGTTTATCAAAAGTTGGAGTCAGATATTAGTAATACACAGATGGGGTTCAGAAAAGGGCTTGGTGCTCGAGAAGCTCTCTTCGGTTTGAATGTTCTCACACAAAGATGCCTAGACGTTAATCAGGATGGTACATACGTGTTTTATCGATTTTTAAAAATCGTTTGACAGAGTACGCCATGATAAGCTTAGAGAGATTCTTGAAAGGAAGGACATCGATAATAAAGATCTGCGAATAATTCTCAATCTATATTGGAATCAGAAAGCTAACATCAAAATAGAAACTGAAACATCACAAGCAATAGAAATACGTAGAGGAGTACGACAGGGTTGCATTTTGTCACCTCTGTTATTTAATGTATATAGTGAAAGCATCTGTCAGGAAGTCCTTTTACAAGCAAACGGAGGAATCGTAATTAATGGAGAGATTGTAAATAATATTCGACACGCGGACGACACTGTACTAGTTGCAAGAACAGTAGAAGAATTACAAAGATTACTTACAGACATAAATATTGCTTGCAACAATTATGCTATAAATATCAATATTAAAAAAACCAAGTATATGGTCTTCAGTAAAAACATGACACAACCAGCGTATATTAGTATAAACGGCACTCAAGTTGAAAAAGTATCAAACTACAAATACTTAAGAACTTTAATAAACGAAACTGGAGACCAAAACAGTAAAATAAAAAGACGTATCGAAATTGCCAGGGCCACCTTCATAAAGATGAGAAAATTCTTCTGCAACAGAAATATAAGCATCCCTCTACGATTAAGAATGCTGAGAGGCTATGTATTTAACACGCTATTATACGGTGTAGAGGCCTGGACTCTCAAACAGAACAACATGAAAAATATTGAAAGTTTCGAGATGTGGTGCTACCGTCGAATGCTGAAGATTAGTTGGGTTGAAAGAATAACAAACTGTGAAGTAATACGAAGAATAGGAAAAGACCCAGAGATTTTGTTAACGCTAAACGAAGAAAACCCGAATATTTTGGTCACTTGATGAGAGGACATAAATACGCATTACTCCAAAATATAATGCAGGGAAAAATAGAAGGAAAACGGAATCCAGGCCGTAGAAGAATGTAATGGTTGCGGAATTTGAGAGAGTGGTTTGGCTGCACCACTAATGAACTCTTTAGGTCAGCCGTAAACAAGGTCAGAATAGCCTTGATGATTTCCAATCTCCGATAGGAGTGGCACAAAAAGAAGAAGAAGATGTTTCGCATAGTGTTGTGTGGAGAAAAGAATAATGGATGGATGACGAGATAATTAATATGATGGAACGAGACAATTTAAAAACAAAGACAACAATAGATACAGAGAAATAAACCACGAGATCAGGAAGATGAGAAAGCGGGCAAACGAATATACTTTGAAGAAAAATGCAGAGATCTTTTAAAATAAATATGATCTCTTAAACCTACACAAGAAAGTTAAAGAACTGGCATGACTAACAAAACAACATCCCACTCGTGCAATTTTGGATAAATACGGGACTACTATTACACATACGGACGAGAAAGTACAAATATGGGCAGAATATATCGACGAATTGTTCGATGATAAAAAAGAGCTCTGTAGCATATAGAACTTATGTCCGAAAAAATAGGTCCATATAAAAGAAGAAATATTACACTCAATAAAAACAATGAAGAGTTTAAAAAGCCCTGGACCTGACATGCTTCCTATAGAAATCCTAAAAATGCTAGATGAGAAGCACATTGATGTTTTAGTGACACTATTGAACCAAACTTATAGTTCAGGCGTGTTACTCAAAGAGTGATTAACGTCAATTTTTATTTGTCTCCCCAAAAAGAAAAACTTAAGAGAATGCAGTGATTACCGCACCATTAGCTTGATGCCTCATGTGCTTAAGTTACTGCTGAAAGTCATCCATAACCAAATATATCACAAACTAAACATAGACGTTAATAATACATTAACAACAGACGTTAATTTGGTTTTTGCAAAGGTCTAGGAATGCGCGAATCTTTTTTTCACTTAATATACTGATATAAAGATGCCTGGACGTCAATCAAGATATTTACCCATGTATTATTGACTATAATAAAGTATTTGATAAACTACGGCATAAATAATTAACTGATGTCCTTAAATTAAATAAGATTAACTACAACGACCTCAGGAACATATCAAATTTATACTATAAACAGATAGCAAAAGTACATTTTAACGAACAGCTGTCAGAAGAAATTGAAATTAGATGTGGAGGGAGAGAGGGATGCGTATTGTCGCCAATTCTTTTTAATGTCTACTCCGTAGAGATTCCAAAAAACGCTCTTGAGGGTAAAACAGCTGGAACAAAGGTAAATGGAGTTTCCTTTAACAACATTAGATATGCAGACGACACTGTAATCTTAGCCGAAAATATTGGAGATAGACTAGTGACTAGAATAGCGGAGTATGAAAAAGAGTATGGTCTAACAATAAATGTCAAGAAGACAAAATTTTTGAGAATATCGAAAACTCAAAGAAATAACGAGAATCTTCTATTGAACGGAACCAATGTCAAACAACTGGTCAAATATGCTTATCTGGAAACAATGATTAATTCCAAAAATGATTACATTCAGGAGATCAAAATCAGAATAGAAAAGGCTAGAGCAAATTATAACAAAATGATAAGAGTCTTATGTACAAGGAATTTAAAATTGTATCCAAGACTTAGGTTGGCGAGGTGCTATCTTTTTTCTACTTAATTTTATGAAATGGAATCTTGGACCTTCAATACGACATTAATGAATAAACTGGAATTATTTGAGCTATATGTGTACAGGGGAATTCTGAGAATATCGCGGACAGAACACGTCACAAACAAAGAGGTTCTGAAAAGAATGAATAAAGAAATGGAAATTTTAAATACAATTAAAACAAGGAAATGGGAATATCTCAGACATATTACATGTAGAGAGAAATACACCTTGCTCCAACTGATTATGCATGGAAAGATCCAAGGAAAGAAAAGCATAGGGAGGCGTAGAATATCATGGCTGCGCCACATATGAGAGTGGTTCGGATATACATTAAATGAAAGTTTGAAATAACTCTACAAACGATTACATTCACGAGATCAAAATCAGAATAGAAAAGGCTAGAACAAAGGCGCTGTCGGCGATCGATCAATCGATTTTTGTCACCGCACGATCGGATCGTTTGAAGTGATTGGACAGAATTTAAATGGAATGTATTTATCGGAAAAGTTACTTACTTGTATAAGTGCTAATGCATCTTCCTCAAATGATGAGTTAGTATAGTGTTTTCTTAATGCTGCACCAACATGTTCTTTATTCTCTTCAGCTATATTTAATGCTTCGTTGGGAATCTCCTTTGGGTTTTCATCGTAGAACTTTGCCCTCTGTTTAAATAAATCACTATCGACATCAACTAAAAAAACGTGCTGTATAATGTATGGTTTAACCCATAAAAAAAAATAAAATGTTTTGCCCAAAAATATTAGTTTACAAAAAGTAACTTTAAATAATAAGATTACTTTAGGAACAAACTTATAAAACATATAATCACCAACTTACTCATTTGGAACAAGGATTCTTCAGAATTCAGGCCCATAAGAATAGGAACGAAGTTAAATTCGCCATTGAGAACGGCACTGTGCATATGTCCCGTAACTGCGGCGTTATCGTTGAAGTCCCCTTCAATAATTGGCTGCCAGACAATAGTGGTATAATGTCCTTGTGGTTTAGTTCCAACTGCAAACTATTGAAATTTATAGTAATAAAATGTAATTTTTAATAATGCATCTAACAAATTTACAAACTAAAAACTAGCAAACAAACTGAATAGTTATCAGCTTCCGCAGAAGGCATGATTTAGAAGAGGTTATAGCATCAAAGATCAAATACAAGCAATAAGAACCCTAACTGAAAAATCAAACGAAAACAATATAACACTCTGGATAGCTATAGTAGATTACGAGAAGGCATTTGACTCCATAGAAATTTGGGCCATCCTTAATCAGAAAAACGAAAAGAAAGAAAATCAGAAAAAATAAAACTACAGTGAGGGGTTAGACAAGGAAATTCTATCACAACCAAGCTTTTGACCTTAGCTCTAGAAGATATGTTTCGAACTTTATAATGGGGAAATAAATAAATGACGTAAAGGAGTGAGTAAAGGAGTAATTTAAAGAAAAAAGTCAGAGAAGAATTGATGTGGTTAGAGCTAAATACAAAATAAAAAAAAATATTACTAAAAGTAAATCTCGTAAAAACTAAATATCTAAAAAACGAATCTGTAGATATACCTGAGAATGTAACTCTGGACAATAATAATATAGAGGTTGAGACACTTGAGATAAAAAATCAAATAAACAAACCCAACTTAAAGTATTACAAACAGTATTTAAATAAAAATTTACCAAATACTTTAAATGCAAAAGCTTTCGATTTGTATGTGCTGAGGTACTAGCATATGGCACTAAAATATGAGCTTTTAACAACAACATAGTCCACACACTCCAGATGACTCAGAGAGCTATGGAACGGAAAAAGCTTAACATTAAGCTCAGCGATATGACAGACAACCGTTGAATGAAGCCAATTAATGAATGGAGACCAAAAGCAGTAGTAGTAGTATTTCCCAATACCAATACCATAGAAAGTCTGCAAAACTTAATGAACAAAATAACGGAAACAAGTACAACCTATGGACTGGATATAAACACTAGCAAAACCAAGTTATTGAAAATAAATCTGTATGTAAATCAAATGAGAACTCATTCATTCAAAGCTTCAGTACTTATGACACATAATGAAAAATCAAGGCAGATATAAGCTACTCCAATGCATTTTGCAAAGCAAATTTAAGGAAAACGGGCTCCAGGAAGAAGAAAAATATCTGGGTTTGCTAACCTGAGAGCATGGTATAAAAAGACCTTAACACAGCTATTCCGTGTAGCAACCAACAAAATCATCATAGCCACAATGATCGCCAACGTTCGGAACGGACAGGCACACTAAGAAGACAAAGACCAAGAGCAAAGAAGAGAAGTAGAGGCAGACGTCAAACCAGATTGACTGATGAACAAACAAAAATGGACACACTTAATGGTGGCTTACCTACATCTGGCGATGGAAGTAGGTAAGCCACCATCCGGCGATGGATGTAAGTGATGGATGTAATAGTTGTTGATAATGGATAATGTATCAGTTTGACTTTTTGATCAGTGGAATAAGCTGTTGGGATCGCATGGAATAAGATTTTCAATATAGATATAGATCTTATATCACAAGAGTTATATACAAAATTTCATACTATATTATAGTTCAAATTATTCAGATTTCACCGTATATGGTTATTTAAATATGAAATTATTATTTTGCTCGCATTTGGTTATGGGATTAGAAGTTTTCAATGACTTGTATAATATAAAGACCATTAAGCCAACTTTACTTAGTACCTAACAAGGCATTTACTAAAACAACAAATCAAAACAAAATTATAATTTGGAGATCAATGGTTAAAGATAATTGATTAAAATATTAAATCAATATTTACCGTTTTTTTGCAGTTTTAATATATCTGACAACGACGCTTCTTGTAATGTTACTAATAGGTCACTGGATTTACTAGAGTTAAAGGAGTTGTTCAGTTGTCTCCCATATTCAAACGCTATTTCTCGACTACCTTGTTTGGATAAGAAAGACGATAATGGTGAGCCACTTTGTTGAATAATTCCAGTGAATAAACCTATAAACAAAAATAAATACTCTATAAGTTGTTATTTTTATGCGTCTTGTAGAGTAAGTATATATATATATATATATATATATATATATATATATATATAATATATATATATATAATATATATATATATATATGTTTGTTTTTTGTTTTGAGGTTTCCGCGGGAGCTATATGTGCTGTCACTATTTTTCCGGGTTTGACTCAGCGTTGTAAGATCCTTTTTTTTTTTTTGTGTGTGTTTTGGCTTGGACAATTGTCATTCAGCCAGTCTCAATCAAGATAAGTTTATTAATGTAGTGTGTGTGTGTGTTTGTTTGTGTGTGTAGAGTAATTGTCTTGTTACTTAGCAAAGTCGACGTCATTGTCTTTGCTAAGAGACGCTAATTGTATCCGAACGTCTGCGGTCCCTCCGGTGTGTACCGATCACACAAGGATAGAAATTATTTTCATTTATCAATTTTTTTAATAAACGAAAATATCCACCCAGGTGGGATTCGAACTCACGACCTTTAGGTTTAAAGGCAGGCGCTCTTACCACTGAGCCACAGAGGGGGTTATTGTAAGATCCTGGTTTTCTTAAAAACCATTGTTTTGATTAGTACTGGAAAACCAGTACTAATCGAGTAACGACGAGAAGTAGATCCACCAGGCTTGAGAATGGCAAGTGAGACCTTGCCGAAACGTCGCCAAAACAATGGTTTTCAAGAAAACCAGCATCTTACAACGCGGAGTCAAACCCGGAAAAATAGTGACAGCACATATATATATATATATATATATATATATAATATATATTAATTATATATATATATATATATATATATATATATATATATATATAATATATATATATATATATATATATATATATATATGCCGGTTTAGAACGTCCTTCTCCGTTGTCCGACACCTAACTTCCATCCTCTTCTATCGTGGCAATCTTCCGTTGATAGATTCCGTTCGCTCATTGACTTTTTTATGTTTTGCTGCCAGTCTAGTTTGGGTCTTCCTCGCTTTCTATTACCTATTGGGGTCCAGTTCATTATTTTTTTGGGCCATCTAGTATTTTGTCCGTGTCCGTACCAGGTAAGTTGTTTCTTTTCGATATCCTGAATTATCGTACCTTCTATTCCCATTCGTTGTTTTATATGGTCATTCCTTATTCTTTCTCTACGTGAGACTCGCATAGTTCTTCTTATCGCGTCCATTTCGACTGCCTCTACCTTCTTTTTTTGTCTGTCTCGAATTCTCCATGTTTCCGCTCCATACAATAGGCTGCTCTTAACCATTGTCTCGTATATATTAAATTTTCTCGTTTTTGTTATCTCCTTGCTTCACAAGATGCCATTCAGATATCCTATTATCTTTTTAGCTGTAACTATTTGTTTTTCTATCTCTTTCACATATGTTCCGGTATTGTCGAATGTGATACCTAAATATTCATATTCTTGACATTGCAGAATTTCTTGACCGTTGTCCAACTCCAAATTTTCGTTCTGAGAGCCTACACATAGATATTTCGTTTTATTTACGTTAACTGTCAAGCTCCATTCCTCATACTCTTCTATCAGCTTTCTAATCATATATTGCATGTCGTCTTTGTCATTGGCCACTGTGACCTGATCATCTGCATACTGAAGAGTAAACAGGTATCTCTCATATATCTCTATACCCATTCCATGTATTTACCTTTTCCAGTTCTTAAGTGCCCCTGCTACATATATTTTAAATAGTGTGGGAGAGATAGGACATCCCTGAGGTAGTCGCTTATTTACTATGAAGGCATCTGTGAGTTTTTTATCTATCTTAATTCTTGATTGTGAATTTTCATACAGTTCTTTAAGTGCAGCTATATAGTTGTGATTGATGTTCGTTTGTTTTAATACCTTCCACAGTCTCGATACTGGGACTGTATCATATGCTTTTTGTAGGTCCACAAATGTAAAATGGGTTTCCAGATGTCTAGCAGATCTCTTCTCTATGACTTGTTTTAGACAAAATACGTTGTCGGTACACGATTTACCTGCTCTAAAGCCGCTTTGATCTTCTTCTTTTTTCTCTTTATAGTCTTCTTCAATTAGATCTCGCAGTATTCTACTGTATAGTCTGCTCAGTGTACTCGTGATTGATATGCCTCGACAGTTTATTTCCTTTTTTATGGATGGATGATATATAAACTGTTTTCCAGTCTTCTGGAACAGGATGTCCATTTAGGCATTTATTGATAATTATTGTTAGATTTCTAAAGAGTTTTTCCGTTCCCCATCTTAACATTTCAGAGAAATGTTAAGATGGGGAAGTTAAGATTTTAAGAGGTGTTAAGAAGTTAAGATGTGTCCAGTCTAAATAAAATATGGAAAATGGGAATTTAAAGAAATACTACATTAAACATACCGTCCTATGATTTCATAACATAATATGATATTTCACACTAATTATACAAAATAGAACAGCAAAACGGAATACATGCAATAATAAATAAATGGGGATTTGTTAAAATAAAATGCTCAGACATATCGAGAGTTAGTTTTTAGTTGCGTATTTTTGCAATAAAATCTTTTCATATAGGGTGTGTCCTGTAACAGCGGCTAATACCAACTTTATATAACACACCTTGCATAATATTCAATTTTGTCCAATTTTAATATTCAAAGTTTTTTCGAAATATTAAGTATTTTCAGATTTATTGGTAAAAGCGACACAAGAAAAAATGAGCTGTGTATAAAAAATTGAACTGAATAACTATTAAGTAACACTGTCTATCTCTTTAAACTGTACAAAATAAAAAAATTTTAATGTAAATATAGATAATGTTAAAAATGCTAGCCATAAACGTCTTGGTAACATCCCCCGCTTAAATAAAAGTTTCTTAACATATTCGGCGTGATCAATCCAATCATAAGCGTTAGTTGTCTTCTTAAGTCAGTTAATTCGAGGGATTTATTTCTGTATAAAATATTGTTGACATAATATCCATAAGATGTCAAATGGGGTGAGATCAGCAGATCGTGCTGGCCATTTTATCGATTTACGCCTCCCTATTCACCAATTTAAAAATATTTAGTTGAGATACTGTCGAACATTGATTTGCTGAAAGTACATTTTGTTCTCGAGAACTTGCTTGGTTTGCTAAATCAGGATATACGTTTGGTAAAGTTGTTATAAAATTATTTTGAGAAGTACTAAGTAATTATCGCCATTCAAACTGCCATCAATAAAAAAGGACCAATGTTATGATCTTCAACAATGTTTGCCCATGTATTAACCATTTTAGGCCTACTGTTTATATTTTCTCATTCAATGAGGATTTTCATTAGACTTCTTCTTCTTCTTTCTCCTCTTTATAACCAATTCCGCCTGTTCATTGGCAGATTAATACTTCTATGGAAGGTTGTTATTCCATCTTTTGTGCGGTCGTTTGATATTTCTTCTGCCAATTGGTGACTTATCTCTGGCTATTTTGACGAGTCCACTCCATTCTGCTTATGTGGTTATTCTGTTTTTTTATATTTTGAGTACATTTATTTAAACACGGTACTTTACATTTTTTTCTAATTCTTCAATTCTCTTTCGAGCTCTTAGCGTGTTTCCTGTAAGAATTTTAAGTACCAGAAAAAATAATAAGTTTGGAAAAAATGACAATTAGACAAACAAAAAAAGGTGTTCACCAAGGAGACCCGTTATCTACATTGCTATTCAATGTAGTTCTAGAAACAATTGTAAGGTTTAGTCGGATGAATAGGTCCGGAACTATTTTATACAACGAGCTTGGCATATATTTTAGCTTTTATACCAATGCTTAGCATACGCTGATGATGTGGTTGTTATTGCAAGAAATGGAAAAGAAATATCAAATATAGCAAAAAGACTGATTAGAGAAAACTCTAAAATGGGAATGAAAAATAATATTAATAAATCGAAGTACATGGAGATCTCGAGCAAAAAAGGAATAAACATAAGGGGATCCTTATGTACTTAGGTACTCTTATTAGAGTATACAAAACTATAATTAGACCAACAATGCTATACGCTGCCGAGACATTGACTATGAACAAAACCATATAGAATACATTGGAAGCATGGGAAAGAAAGATACTATTTGGTGGGAAGATAAAGAATATTTGGTAGAAAAGTAGTAGAGGAAGAATGGAGAAGACGAACTAATGCAGAAGTGACGTTTCAAAGGATTGGAATTGGAAAGAATTGGATTTATTATCCAATTTATTCGATCTAGCTGTTCCACTTTGTATAATCAGAACAATATATTTGATTTGTTTTACATGTATTGTTAGATAAGAGTGATTTTATTACCTTTGATAGTACATATACTTTTAAATAACAAAGAGAAACATATCATTCCTTAAAAAGGCTAACCGCTTACGGCGAGTCTCTGGCTCATATCTATTAATAAACTTATCATATTCATCAGGATACCATATTCATGAACAATTTTATTTCATTCTTTGTGACGAATGCAGCATTTACAATTTAAACTGAAGAAAAGTGTATAATAAAATATAGATACCTCGAGCTTGTTTGTTGAGCCAATGAAATCCAACGGATATGCTTCCAGCACTTTCACCACCTATTGTAACTTGATTGGGATCCCCTCCAAACGCAATAATATTGTCGTGTACCCATTGAAGAGCAAGCAATTGATCCTTTAGTCCCAAGTTTGCCGGAATATTATCATCGTTCGTTGTTAAGAAACCTGTGATAAAAAATATGAGATTTATTATTTCGCAAAATATAGTCGTGTGAATATTTTTAACCGATATACTATACTATCTAGTAAATTAAAATTAAAAGGATATCTCGTGTAATTTACGTGATGTCTTTATTATTAGAAGTAAGTTATTGTGGTGACAAAACTACAAAATTTCTCTTTTTATATATGTTCTTCCCTAGAAGATGAAAATCCCCAGCAGATAAGACAAGAAGAAGCTCATGTAAAAGGTGGACAGATAATATAGAAGATATGATCTTAAAACTATGAACATTAGGCAGTGGCAAGGTAAATTATCTGACAGGGCAGAAGGGTTGTAGTACCATTAAAAGAAATAGAAGAAATAATATGTTCTTTGAAATAATATGACATTGCACAAGTTCGACAAAAGATAAAATGTAAAATACAATAAATTTAATTTACATTGTACTAGATCGAAAGCACTGTGGACACTTAGGAGAGGTCTATGTTTAGCTGTGAATGCTTTTAGCTGTATATTCCTTATAGCCATGTAATATGTCTTTTTATAACGTTTACTACTATTACAACTATCTTAATTATATTCACTGAGAACCATATCTGTATAATAATGACGATTAATGTGTTTAGGATTAACTCTTTGGTCTAGCTAGGCCTTCTTCAGCAAGCAGCTCCCCTAGAGTAAATATTTTATTAAGTATTTGTATATTATATCTTACATATAGAAAATGAATAGCACCTTTTATTATCAAATTAAAACACGCTTTTTTATCTAAATTTACACTAATTTTTATTATCTTTAAATAAAGGCTTACCTAAAACTCCAAGTCTATAATTAATTGTAACAATTATAATATCATAGTCAATCAAGAATTTGGGATTATACAAAGTTCCATATCCAACATTAAAAGATCCCCCATAAATCCACAAATATACAGGTAATGCCTCTTGATTATCAGCTTTCTAAAAAAATTACTGGATTTATTAAAGCAAATAAACAATAAACAATATTAAATTGTGATTAGTAAACATCTAGGGTATTGTGGCTCAGGAGTCTTAGACCCCGGAAGCCTTAGAGAAGAAGTCAGAGAGGATCCCTGGTGAGTTTAATATTAACCCATTAAAGCCTTGTGTGACCACTTGGTTACGAAAACACGCCATCATTGAATATTAATTTTAGCTCCAGTTAACGCTAGAAATCTATCCGCAGTTTAACTTGTCGTTACTAGGTGTCAGTGTATTCAATTTATTACAGTGTTACATTCCACAGTTTGGAGCGAAAGAATAGTATAGATGTGTGAATTCATGCGTATTAACGAATGTGCAAATTATGAAACCGAGATTTGAGTAAGTAGTTTTATTAGTTTATTATTAAGACTTTCCGACTATTTAAATAATTATTGATATACTTAAGGAAGTAGGTTAAAACATAAAAAATATTGCAGGTAACCTGGCTCATTAACAAAAAATTTACATGAGACTGAATCACATTGTTACCAAATGGTCACACTAGGTTAATAAGAGATTTAATTATTTGTTTATTTACAGGAGAGATTTGACGCTTTAGAAATTCCTAGTTATGGTTTATAACGATGACAATGTTGCAATTGATATATATGTATATAAGTTCACCTGATAAAATGTTTTGACTGATGAAGATTCAGCTGACGAGGATAATGGTGGATTTGTGGATAACCTGTCCCGAAGATAATTATAAGCAGAAGCCGAGCTGGATTTTTTTGATGATGCACCAGAAGAGACTAGTGTTTTGAATGAGATGAAAGACGAACAAACGCCGCTTATTTTACCACTTCATACAGAACCGAGTACTAGTTTTTTGAAATCACTAAAGGGAAAATAGTATATTAAAAGAATATGGAGCGATGGAGATTTTGTAATAACATCCGACTTTCCCAAAGCAGACTACTCACAATTTAAAACTATAATTTATTTGAGTTGTTTTTTGGATGCAATGCGTCGCGACAGGTATATCCAAATAATGCGTTTCATACACTGTGTTAATAATACGCAAATGCATTAAAATGATAAAATGTGGTGATAAATTCGATGATCAAATATTACGAGCGCCATAATTGTAAACAATTCATTAGCAGTAAACCGATACGATTTGGTTATAAAGTATGGTGCCCATACTCCGCAACTGGTTACCTTGTGAATTTTGAGATCTATTAAGGAAAAAGTACCAATTCCAACGATCTTTACCAAATTGCATTCGATAAGGCAGCCGCTTTCCTTGTCTGGATGTTGGACACTTTGCCACAACAAAAGCTGCCTTACAAAATCTATGTAGATAAACTTTTTACTGGATTCAATTTAATGGTGTATTTAAAAGAAAAAGGATATGGTGTCACAGGAACAATAAGAGAGAACAGAATACCACAAGATGTTCCACTTTTCGATAAAATTACTATGTCCAAACAAACTCGAGGTTTTTTGGTTTTAAAAATTGACAAAAAAGATATTATTATGTTGACAAGATGGATGGATAACGCAGTCGTAACAATGGCATCAACTTCATATGGTGCATCTTATTCAACAAGTGAAACTTTATTCACATTCTGAAAAAAAAATTGTTCAAGTTCCACGCCCACATGTTATTGGAATGTATAACAAGTTTATGGGAGGCACTGATAGAATTGATGAGGATTTAACAAGATACCGCATAAGTATTCGTAGTTAAAGATGGTATTGGTCTAAAAATGATGCTGCAGTGCAAAATGCGGGGATAACTAAGTGTTCAGGAAGACCGACAACTGATTTGATTTTTCGACGTGAAATCGCGACTACTTACTTTACCAAATTAAAAAACCTTCTCATTAGACCTGATAGACCAATAATAAGTGGAAATAGTTTATCTCTTAACCTAATCTCTGACGACATTAGGTACGATGGAGAAAGGTGCTGCTCAGTAGGACGTACGCAGTGTGAGAAATGCTATATTGGACTCTGCATTAAATGCTTTGCCATATTTCATACAAAATAAATTTTATATTTTTATAATATTTTGACCTAGTGTGACCATATGGTCACGGTTTGTAATGTCATATGTTCGAGAAGCAAATAAAATTTACTACGGTTTTCTGCTTATCTGTATTTTTCCTAAATTGAACTTAGCAAAAAACCACCAGTTTTACAAAAAAAAAATTAATTTGATGGGTTAATTTTTATAACAATACTGATCCGATATATTAATTCTCCTAAAAATTATCATGGTGGGATTGGTGATTCTTCTCAACTACCGGATGCTATATTTTACATGTTTAACGGCATTCGATATATTAATTTAAAGTTATTTTTGATTTTCGATATTTTTTTTGTTAGAAAATTCGTTAAAATAATTAAAACAAAAAACACTAATATCTTGTGTTCTAATCTGGTATTATTTATATAGAAATAACTAACTTACCGATGGTCTATATACATTTAAAACAAGACAATCTTCTTCTCCAATAACATTGTCATCAAGAAACTGTGGACATGATTTCGTACTACTAGTTGCATTAAAAACTCCTTCCCATGGTTCTTTCGGCCTAGATACCTAATCATGTTAAAAATATAGTAAGCATTATATTTTGTAAAATTAATTAATTAATTAACAATTATTGCCAAATCCGAAGATGATCTTTAGGGACATCTCTTTCAGTTCTTTCCAATAAGCCGCCAACTAAACATGAACATTTCTACTAACAAAACTAAATGTATGACAATACCAAAAGATCCGCTCAGATGTAAGTTAGTGATTGAGAACGACCCCATAGAACAGATGATGCAATTCAGATATCAGGGCATAGATATACCAAGCACACATGATCCAGTAAAGGAACTAAGCAGTCAGATCAACAAAGCATCCGCACTATCAGGATGTCTGCGGGAGAAAGTCTGGTCAAATCCGTATATGCACAAAGATAGTAAAATTAGAATCTACAAGACTTGCATACGACCGATCATGACATATGGCATAGAAATGCGAGAAGATAGCAGCGTAAGAGGGTGTGGTACAATCATTTTAGACGAATGGATGAAAATAGACTTCCAAAAATTGCTCTAGAAAACAACCCGCCCGGTTCAAGAACTCCCAGAAGATAAGCTAAAAAATAGGGGGATAGTTGGCAATCTACCTCCCAGGAAATTAACCAAAGGGAGCTTCAGAATTAAACAGATCGAAAGATCTCCAAGAAGTAAAAGAAGAAGAAGAAGAAATTAATACTTTGTTCAATAAATCTGATCGTTTTTAGACTTGATACAAACTTTGGTACAAATGGTACAAATGATATTGTACCATATTATTAGAACTACGGTCTCTTTTGTCGGTCACTATTTTAGTTACTAATTCTTCAATTTAAAAATCTGAAGCACCTGTTTAAACCTTAAATAATAGAGTGATAGTACCAGTCACTAACACGCATGTACTCCCAACTTTAGACAAAAGATGCGAAATTCTAAATGAGATAAAAACTAGAAAGATGGAATACTTGGGGCACATTGTGAGAGGTGAAAAGTACGAACTTTTAAGAAACATCATGCAGGGCAAAATTAAGGGCAAAAGAAGTGTGGGAAGAAGAAAAATATCGTGGCTTCGTAATCTACGTGAATGGTTCGGGTGTAGTTCGATTGAACTTTTCAGGCGCGCTGCTAACAAAGTCGCAGTGGCCATGATGATTTCCAATCTCCGCTAGGAGTGGCACGAGAAGAAGAATAACCAGTACGAAAAATACCAGAAGTATTCCATAAGTCACTGGTAAAGAATACAAAATTGTGTTGAAAAACATGTTATAACGGATGTGTTTTTTCTCTAAAATTTTGTAAATAAATTATATCAAAAAGAGTTACGTTAAACAATATTAATAAAGTAGCAGGTAAAAAAAAGGATATTTATTTAAGCGGATTGATGTATCAAGTTGATAATTGTCAATTACACAAGATAATATAAGAAAAGCAAATATCGTTTTGACACTTATACAAAGTACGATAATTGGCTACGGTATTTAATATTCCAATCAGTCCAAAGCATATATACCTGGTAGCATGACAGCTCTAACATCATCATCATTATCATCATTCCTCAACCTCTTGCATCCACTGTTGGATATAGGTCTCCTCCATGTTCTTCCACTGTTCTCTATCTTGCGCCTTCTGTATCCAATTTCCGACTGTTTTTCTCAAGTCGTCCATCCATCTTTTTGGTGGTCTGCCTCGGTGTCTTTTGTCTTCTCTAGGTCTCCATTCTATGAGTCTTTTGGTCCACCTATTATCATTTAAACGTGCTATATGTCCAGCCCATCTTAATTTGGCTTGTGCGATTTTTTCTATGACATCTGTCACTTTAGTCATCTCTCTCACTATCCTACTTGGTACCATATCTCTTTTAGTTATTCCCAACATTGCTCTTTCCATTTTTCTTTGGGTTACTCTCAATTTATTTGCCGAATGTTTGGTTAAAGTTATTGTTTCGGAACCATATGTTATTACTGGCAGTATGCATTGGTTGTAAACCTTTTTCTTCAAGCAAATCGGTAGCGTTCCTTTTATAATATCTCTTATCTTTCCAAATGCTGCCCATCCCAAGCCTATGCGACGCTGGATCTCACAAGTTTGATTGTCTTTTCCTATTCCAATTTCATGTCCTAAATAGATATAGCTAAAGACCTGATGTACTTCGTTCCCATCTACCCTCATAACATCACTTGGAACTAAATTGGTCATGTATTTTGTTTTTTCAAAGTTTATGTTCAGGCCTATTTGTTCTATTGCCTGCTTTGATTCTTCTATCATTTTGTGAGCTTCATTTAAACTCTCGGCTTTAATGACAATATCATCTGCAAAGCGCAAGTGGCTTAAGTATTCACCATCCATACTTATTCCCCTTTTAGCCCAATCTAGTTTTTTTAAAGGCATATTCCAGAGCTGCAGTGAATAGTTGGAGGGAGATGGTGTCGCACTGTCTAATTCCTCCTCGATTTACCGATAAATATAGAATTGAGCGAGGAATTAGACAGGGCGACAGCTCTAACATATACAGGAAAATTAAACAAGCAGCTGGCATATACAAAAAGAAAAGTATTAGAAACAAAATGGACAAAAATAACAAAATAATGTACAGAAAAAATGAATAAATGGGGACAGTATATAACAGAGCTATTTGAACAAGACGAAAAAATAGAAACCATAGATATAGGAGAAAAAAATGGACCCGCAATTACCAAAGAAGAAATAATAAACGAAAAAAAAAACACTAAACCGGTATAAAAAGTCATAAGACCAAATGAGGTAACTACAGAAATCTTAAGATGAATAACATAGAGCCACATTAAAACTCCAAAGTATTTAATTAGCTCTTCTGCATCCCATTGATATATTTTATAATATTTTACCTTTAGCCTGTTCTTTCCAACTGGAGCTTCTGCATATGGTATATTTTCAAAAGCTTGGAAATCATTCCCTTCAAAGCTTTTAAGAATATGCCCTTGGACTTTACTCCCTGTGGGTAATGTTATTATTAAGTCATCAGGAGCATCTCCAGCAACAGGTGATGTTACCTAAAAATAATAAACGTACATTATTAATAAAATACTGTAAACTTTCAGTCCTTTTTATTGTTTCGTATAAATTCATAGGCTTAACCCATTAACCGCCAAGCAAAAAAATACTGCAATATTATGTAATATATTTTATTAATTAGGGTAAAATAAACTTAAATATTCGTAAAAAAATTGTTTTACACTTTGATACTGACAGGTGCCACAACAAAAAAAATGGTTCGTTTTTGAACCGTTGGCGAGATAAATCGAAATCGAAACTGAGATAAAAAAATTGAAATATACAACTTTATTTATTCCAAAAAATTTTAAAACATTTGGAGTGTAAATGGCATTTTTGACAAACAAAAACAGTATGATTAGAACACTACCTGCTTCTTCTTCTTGCATTTTCTGCATGCTTTATTACTAAATGACCTATCTTATCTTTTCATCTGGTAAACTACTTTTCGATAGTCTGCCTATGTTTATTGTTAACGGTACAGTTGATTTTTCATCTTCTTCACTTTTATTCTGTTTTGATTCCTCTTGTTATTTATCTTCCGATTTCATTAGAAAAACAACAATATATGACCGAAAATCGATTTGAGAAATGGAGCTTTTATTTGCCAATCTGGCAATGGAACTATCAATTAAGTTTTCAAAAATTGGCCACCACCATTTCTTTCCTCGTACAGCAATCCTGTCATTCTCAATGCCGTTCTTATGTAAGTGAACGCCGCCCATACATCTATTGTATTCTTGGATAACATTCGGCAGGGGGGTATTTACTTCTTTTCGCTGCTTGCGATCGAACCTCTTTGCTAAGCCTACGGGATGGATTGGGCAGTTATTGGAAATTACACATTACGACTGATTTATCATTCCATCTAACTAAAGATACTTCAGCTTCTTTGTAAAAAACGAAGTTGAACGACCCTCTATCCTTTTTAACAATAATTTTAGATATTTCCAGTGGACACTTTTTAATCCTGTTTTGTTGCACTGTGCGAGTTGCATAAATTCCCTTTTCTTTTAATATTGTAAACAGATTATACGTTGAAAATAAGTTGTCAAAAAATACCCTATGATTGGAGGGAGTTTCTACAACACTTAGTTATTTTAATACTACATCAGCACCCAATCCTAAATCTAATTTTGTTGTGCTAGCACCACCGTAGGACATAAACTAGAATAAGTATTCATCAGATGAACAGAGGCACCATAATTTATACCCAAAACGTACAAGTTTTCCCTTTAGAAACATTTTTGCAGAGTGCCTTCCAAAACCATTTCTTCGTCTATGGATAAATTATACGCGAAAATACCAAATTACAGGAATTTTTGATTCAGAATGTCGATAAAAGGGCGAAGTTTGCAAGTTTATCATTTTTTAGTAACACCGTATTATCACTTAGGTGAATATACTTTTTGATACGCCGAAATTAATTTCTACTGATGCAGTTCATAATGAATGTCACGTTCTTATCATGGTGCTTGCTCCAGTATATATCCATTTGTGGCAAGGTGTGATATCCTGTAAAAATGAGTATTCCCAAAAACCTTTTCACAAATGCATTTGTCAAATGAAAATCGTAACAGATATTATCCTGAACATATTTTATAGTAAAATTAACAGTAAGGTTGTAAACTTTATCATCGAAGAAAAGCTAAAAACATTTGTAAGGGATTTTTCCGGAGACACGGTTCTCAATTTTTATCCCTTTTTCAATTTCATGTGATTGTGGACTTATATGGAATATATATAAGTTGAAATATGGTAAGCTAAATTATTATCATATGAATGCGTTTATATAGTAGTAGTAGTGAATTTTTTTGTTTATTTTAGTAAATTCTCGAAATATGAAATGAAGAGGGCACTAACTACTAAAGAGTTAATGGCTTTGTAAGAAGAAGACTCAGACTGTGAAAATGCTGACTCACTTGATGTGGTTTATGTGCCGCCGGAAACAGATGAAATTTCCGATGTAGAAGACGTTGATGATAATATTATTGGTGAAGAAAGAATAAAAACAGATATTGCAGGTACATATGAAATACAAGTGAATGGGAATTCTGACGATTCTGATGATGATATTCCTCTGAACCACAGATCAAAGGGTTCAAAGAAAGAACCAGGCAAAAATAATAAATCCAAATTTGTCCCAAGTTGGGTAAAAACGGATACTCCTTCGTACTCGGCAGTAATTCAACATCAGTCTGATCGATATTTAGAAAATATAAAAGCCAACCATGGAGGCAAGTCACCTATTTAAGTTTTTTCACTCTTTTTTGATAAAGAAGTAAGTAAGAGCATTCGATATTTTACAAATATTTATGCATCGCAGAATAACAGTCACGATTTTGAAATGAATGATAGAGATTTAAAAAAATTTATTAGCATATGTATATTATCTGGTTATCACACTCTGACTCAAGTTGATATGTATTGGTCAAAGGGTGAGGATAAAGAAGTGCACATTGTAAGACAAAACATGAGCCGACATAGATTTCGTTCAATCAAACAGAACATACATTTGTTAGATAACACCTTACTGAAAAAAAATTATAAATTTGCAAAATTTTCACCAATTTTTGAAATAATTAACCGAGAGTTTGCACAATTTGGAGTCTTTGCAAAAAATCTTTCCACTGACCAGGAAATGGTTCCATATTTCGGGCGACATTCGTGCAAAATGTTGATCCGTGGAAATCTAACAGGATTTGGTTTTAAACTATAGTGTTTATGTTCTGATACTGGTTATTTGTTCAAATTTATTTCATATGGCGGAAAAACTAAGAAAACAGATAATAGTTTTAGCTTGGGAACGGCAGTTGTTTTAAATTACCTTTCGATAGTTAAAAACCCACAGCAACATAAGTTTTTTTTTCGAGAACTTCTTTACGTCATATACTCTTTTTGGACTATTGAAAAAAAAAAGGATTCTTTGCAACAGAAACAGTAAGGGAAAATCTCACTGCTAAGTGTCCTCTAGAATAAAACAAAATTATGAAAGAAAAAAGGAAAGAGGTTCATGTGTATTCGATTCCAATTTAGAAGTTTTAGTGACAAGATGGAACGATAATTCAGAAGTGACTGTAATGACAAATACATGTGACAATTTACCCCTTATGCAAACTAAACATTATAACCGTAAAGAACACAAAGAAATTCTTATCCCTCAGCCTAATATAATTCACCAATATAACCAATACATGGGTGGAGTGGATCTGCATGATAATGGCATTGCGAATTACCGTATTAAAATAAGAGAAAAAAGTGGTGGTGGCCGTTGTTTACTAACATGGTTGACAGTATGGTTGGAAAATTTTTAAAATTGGGAATAATTCTAAAATTTCCCAACTGGAGTTTCGTTCGAGATTGGTTCTTAACTTACTAAAATATAGTGGACATGCAGAGAATAGTGAAAAAACCGCTACATCATTGTCAAACTCAGTATATGGACCTCCATCTAAATTTGCTTTACCAGATGAAACTAGATTCGACAATATTGGCCACATTATAAAAAGAGACGATAATAGTGCAAGTAGAAAATGTCGGATGTGCAAAAGTAATACTATTTATTTATGTAAAAAGTGTACAGTGCATCTACACCCCGAATGTTTCGAAAAGTTTCATCTTAAAATTTAATTTACAGTTAAGATACAATATATGTTCCTTTTTAAAAATTGTATGCGTATTCGGCCAAAGGTGCGTATACGCACCCACCTGTTTTTCCTTTCATGAGAAAAAAAAAAATCTTTTTGGTTGTAAATTAGTCTTAATTTATGTGTTTTTAATCCAATCTTAATGTCAGATACGCTCACGAAATCAATTTTTAAAATAATTTTTTTATTAACTCGGCACCGGCGGTAAAAATTCCAAAACTTTTGATCGGAGTATCCTATCAATAAAATCAAAATGCGGTATAGGGGCTAAAAGTGCTGCTTTCGTATGCAGTTTGAGTATTTTGCCAAATAATATTTAGAAGATACAATAAAAAATTTCGACTTTGGGTATTGGCAACAAATATGAAGTATTTGAAATATGTATAAAAACGATAAATTTAAGCTTCTTCATCACAAAATGATGGCAGGTCACGGAAAATGCTACCAAAAAGACGGTATTAAATATAATTTGTAGCTAAAGTTGTTTAGCTTTGAGAAACGTTTTTATGTAATCCAAAAAAGCATTTTTGAATGTACAAAATGAGAGGATATCGTTACAGCGGGGCAATGACGAGACTAATCTCTTCTTATTTGAGCTACCGGAGATTCAGAGTTTAAATAGGACCGAACTTGAAACCCCGAAGACTGGAGTGCCACAAGGAGTAGTCCTGTTACCCCTGCTATACTGTATTTGGCGCAAAATAAAGAAAAGACAGTGGTGACTGCCTTATCACCCGGCTTTTTAATGTAAGAGATAGAAAACACAGTTACCTTGTGAAATAAAAGGAGATGAAACTCGTAGAAGTGGGAAATAATCGATAGAAATCTATAATTTACATTACATTACATTACGACTATCGATAGTCTCACACCTTTAGGCGTTAGCTTCGATCTAAATCACCTCGGTCATAATTATTATGTTTGACAGTTTGACGTCGTATGTGTGACGTATTTTCATTTTTTACTTTAGATAAAGTAAAAACTGATTGACCACATAAAGCAAAAATGTGAATAAAATCATTTAATTAATAGTGATTACTTATTCTAAAGTTTTAAATTATTACACTATTGTCACGGAATAATTAGCAATCCTTCGTGGATTACTGGTAAGAATTCGACACTGCGACGAAGATGATTAGAGTTCAAAACCTACATGAGGTTTTCTTTTTTTAATAATTTGAAATTATGATTTGAAATTATGCAGAGATCGTTTTGCTTTTAAACATTTATGTCAATCGTTACTAGTATTAGAAGCGTTTAAAGGTAAACGTAAATACTGTCACAGCCATTTGATAATTATTTTGTTTGTATACCGCTTTGAATGCTGAAGTTACAAAAGCTTTTATTAAAAT